TAACATTTATTTTCCTGATAATCCCCCTCTTATGATAACTCCTATTCCTTTTTCCAGAAAGACAAAAGAATAAGAAGTTCAAGGATCAATTGAAGAAGTTCATTGAAAAGATCAAACAGATTCGAATCAAAATCCCTTTTGCAGAAGCCCTGGAGGTAATGCCAAACTACACCAAGTTCATGAAGGAAGTCCTATCCAAGAAAATTCGGATCGAAGAAGACATACCAGTGACACTCACGGCAACTTGCAGTGCCATTCTTCAGTCGAATCTACCACCGAAAATGAAAGATCCAGGGAGTTACACTATTCCTTGTATTATTGGAAATTCTACTTTCGATAAAGCTTTATGTGATTTGGGGGCAAGTATTAATTTGATGCCTATGTCTATGTTTCTAAAACTGGGCTTAGGAAATTTGAACCGCACTGCATGACTTTACAACTAGCTGATCGTTCATTGAAATATCCCGATGGGATTGTAGAAGATGTGCTAGTTAAAGTAGATAAATTCATTTTGCCTGTTGATTTTGTGGTACTTGAAATGCCTGAAGATGATGAAGCACCAATCATTTTAGGTCGTCCATTCTTAGCCACTGGTAAGGCGATGATTGATATGGAATTAGGATCTTTAATGCTTAGGGTAAATGGAGAAGAAGTTGTTTTTAATTTGACAGATGCATTTAAACACTCTGAGCATGTTGAGCATTGCAGTAGAATAGACGTGATCGAGGACTGTGTTTCCTCCTTTTTTGATTTGTATGAATTATGTGATTCTGTTGAGCACTGCATTGTTAACTCTATTGATTTGCATTCTGCCTCCCCTGAAACTCCTATTGAAAATGATGTGCTTGATTGTGTGTTGTTTCTTGAGTGTGCCGAGATTTTAGGTGTAGACGAGGTAGGAATCGTCCCTGAGATACCAGTTAGTGTGAAAACGGCCCCCGTATTGGAATTGAAGCAATTACCGGATTATCTTTGTTATGCTTTTCTTGGAGCAAACAAGACTTATCCGGTGATTATTTCTTCTAGTTTGAGCGAGGCCGAAACAAACACACTGCTGAAGGTCCTTAGAGAATATAGGTCGGCTACAGGTTGGTCTATTGAGGATATTAAGGGAATTAGCCCGTCTATTGTTCAACACAAAATTCTAATGGAAGACGTCTATAAACCGAGAGTCCAACCTCAGAGGCGGTTAAACCCATCAATGAAAGAGGTAGTCAAAAAAGAAGTCTTAAAACTGTTGGGCGCTGGTATGATTTATGCAATTTCTGACAGTCCGTGGGTCAGTCCGGTGCAGGTTGTGCCAAAGAGGGGTGGGATGACGGTTATTGTGAATGATAAAAATGAACTTATTCCGTCTAGAACAGTCACTGGGTGGCGTGTATGCTTCGATTACTGATTATTTAATGCAGCCACTAGAAAAGACCATTTTGCCCCTTCCCTTTATCGATCAAA